TGGGGTCTTCCAGCAGGACAATGACCCCAAACATACGTCAAAAAGCACTCAGAAATGGATGGCAAAGAAGCGCTGGAGAGTTCTGAAGTGGCCAGCAATGAGCCCAGATCTAAATCCCATTGAACACCTGTGGAGAGATCTTAAAATTGCTGTTGGGAAAAGGTGTCCTTCCAATAGAGAGACCTGGAGCTGTTTGCAAAGGAAGAGTGGTCCAAAATTCCGGGTGAGAGGTGTCAGAAGCTTATTGATGGTTATAGGAAGCGACTGATTTCAGTTATGTTTTCCAAAGGGTGTGCAACCAAATATTAAGTTAAGGGTGCCAATACTTTTGTCCAGCCCATTTTTTGGGGTTTTGTGTGACATTATGTCATATTTGCTTTTCTGCCTCTGTTTTATATTTGTTCCAATACATACAAAGGGAATAAACATGTGTATAGCAAAACATGTGTTAATGCAATACCTTTTTTGTGTGAAATACTTGATTTTTCAGGAAAAATATCAAGGGTTTGCCAACAATTTCGGCCATGACTGTATATATATATATATATATTTATTGAAATAATATTGAATATGGCCAAAATTGTAGCATTTCAAATATATGTCAATATAATTGGGGAAGAATATTTTTAATATATGTTTCAGATATATTTTTCTTCCATGTGGGAAGAAGGGATAAGGACTGTGGCTTTCAAAACCCCAAACTCCTGCACTGGCAGCATGGGCGGTGAAGTTTAAAACAAGTTAATATTTGATACCTCCTATTTACTAATGTTAGCAGCATAAGGACTGAAAATAGCTAATGTTGATTGAGAGAGTTAAGTTCTGCTTTAACTTTTTTCAGTTTGCAAAAAAAGGCTTCTCTCTCAGGTAGTTTTCATAGGTGGGAAGGGTTGGTGTACAATCTGAAATTTCAAAATGAAAGAGGTTGATGAAATGAGGTTTGGGGATTCCTGATTTTTTACTTTAGGGTTGTCAAAATATTAAAATCAATAGTAAAACGTTAAAGAATATGTAAACCCAACATTTTATATTCGATTTGACATGTGCCTGTTGCACCATGTACTTGTATGAAAAAATATCCTGTTCACTTTGCATTGCTTCCTTTGTATAAAATCCCTGGTGTTCCTGCCAGTCTCTCTGCTTTCCTATTAAAATCTGATTACACTAGGCAGGAGAGCACAGCATGGTCAGTTCTCTAGCTGTAGCGGGAACTCAGCCACTGCTCTCCTGCAATGATCAGACTGACACCCCCCTGCACAGCCATATACTGGGAAGACCAGTGTTCTGCTGTTTCTCCTCCCACAGCTCTTATGCAGCTGAGAACAGAAAGAATGTGATCACTAAAAAGGGGGAATAAAGGTATTTATAATGTTTTTTTTATATATCTATACAGAAATATTTTGCCTTTCATTTCTATTTTAAACTGTATGGGTTATTTTACAAGGTGAGGGTTTACAATCACTTAAAGGAAAGCAACTTGTATTCCATATCAGATAAAATGATTACAATGACAAACATTTGCTGTTTTTATTCTCTTAAAAATACAGAGAAAATACCTCCTAGTAAAGCAGGTTATTTTAATGTACAAAAGTAGAAATTTCCCATTCATAGATAAAGCACAGACTGGTTCTTCCTTTAATGTTTTTCTCTGTGATTTTTAAACCATATAACAACACATATCATATCACGACTACTGTAACTCCCTCCTCACCGGCTTACCTCACCACAGGCTATCCCCGCTTCAGTCTATCCTGAATACTGCGGCCAGACTCATCCGCCTTACCAACTGCTCCGTATCCGCCACCCCCCTCTGCCAATCCCTCCACTGGCTTCTGATTGCCCAACTAATACAATTCAAATTGCTAACATTGACGTACAAAGCTATTCATAACACTGCTCCAAACTACATCACCGACCTGATATCCAAATACCACCCAAAATGTACTCTCTGCTCCTCACAAGACCTCCTACACTCTAGTTCCCTGGTCTCCTCCTCCCATGCCCATCTCCAGGATTTCTCCAGGGCTTCCCTCATCTTTTGGAACTCCCTACCCCAATCCATCAGACTATTACCTACTCTCCTCTCCTTTAGGCGCACCCTGAAAACCCATCTCTTCAAGGAAGCCTACCCCACCCTCAGCTAATTGCCGATCTCCTCCACTCTACCACTCCATCCCCCACAGCTATTTCCTCCTGTATCACTATCTCCTCCCTCCTAGATTGTAAGCTCCAAGGAGCAGGGCCCTCGAACCCCTCGTGTATCGCATTGTATTGTTACTGTACTGTCTCGTGTACTGTCTCCCATTGTAATGTACAGTGCCGAGCGAACTGTTGGCGCTTTATAAATACTGTATAATAATAATTATAATAAAACATCATTCTATTTCCACGTATTGAGCAGCCTACCTCTGTCACCCAGCGTACACACAGCTGTCTGTTACTTAAGTAATGCATTATGGAAATTACAGCCCAAATGAAATCTCACACCTTTTATTTTCTCTTTGTAGTCCTGTGCCCCAGTTTGATATTTTTTTATTGATTTTTGCCTTCAAATGTCTTAAAATATCTTATTCTCTTGCACTTACTACCTCACACTGCAGTACTTTGCATTGGCAGAGCTGAGTAATAGCCACACCTTGACCATTAGCCTCCTCACACAGACTAGTAGTGCTAAGGAACAGCGAGGGCGTGTCTGACCAAAGAGGGGGTGTGTCTAACATTAAAGGGGCATGTCTGACCTGGGCACTGTGGTCAAACTCTGGTGCAAATTAGACTGCACAGTAATATTTAGACCAGCCTTTCTCAACCGTTCACCCCAGAGGAAACTTTGAAATGGTCAGTCAGAAGAATGCCCCCTATGTTGCTAATCATTGAGAAGAGCTTTCCTTACATTGGTGGTCAATGGGAAGCATTCTCCTTACATTGGGGGTCAGTGGGAAGCATTCTCCTTACATTGGAGATCAGTGGGAAGAATGCCCCTTACATTGATGGTCAGTGGGAAGAATGTCCCTTACATTGGTGATTAGTGGGAAGAATGCTCCTTACATTGAGGGTCAGTGGGAAGAATGCTCCTTACATTGAGGGTCAGTGGGAAGAATGCCCCTTACATTGATGGTCAGTGGGAAGAATGCCCCTTACATTGAGGGTCAGTGGGAAGAATGCTCCTTACATTGAGGGTCAGTGGGAAGAATGCCCCTTACATTGGTGACCAGTGGGAAGAATGCCCCTTACATTGGGGGTCAGTGGGAAGAATGCTCCTTACGTTGGGGGTCAATGGGAAGAATGACCCTTACATTGGGGGGTCAGTGGGAAGAATTCTCCTTACTTTGGAGATCAGTGGGAAGAATGCCCCTTAGGTTGGTAATCAGTTGGAAGAATGCTTATTTCATTGTGGGTCAATGGGAAGCATTCTCCTTACATTGGGGGTCAGTGGGAAGAATGTTCCTTACATTGGGGGGTCAGTGGGAAGAATGTTCCTTACATTGGGGGTCAGTGGGAAGAATGCTTCTTACATTGGTGATCAGTGGGAAGAATGCTCCTTATATTGGGGGTCAGTGGGAAGAATGCCCCTTACATTGGTGGTCAGTGGGAAGAATGCCCCTTACATTGGTGATCAGTGGGAAGATTACTTCTTAAGTTGGTATTCAATGGGAATAAAGCTCTTTACATTGGGGGTCAATGGGAAGATTGCTCCTTACATTGGGGGTCAATGGGAAGATTGCTCCTTACAGTGGTGTTCAGTGGGAAAACTGATTCTTACATTGGTGATCAGTGGGAAGAATGCTTCTTACATTGGGGGTCAATGGGAAGAATGCTTCTCATATTGGTGGTCAGTGGGAAGAATTCTTCTTACATTGGTGGTCAGTCGGAAAAATGCTTTTTGCACTGGTGGTTAGTGGGAGGAGTGCTGCTTACATTGAAAGTCTTTTAGAAGCATAGTCAGTGGCAAGAATGCTCATTACATTGGTGGTCAGTAAAAATAATGCTTGTTACATTGGTGGTCAGTGGAAAAATGCTCCTTACACCTAAGGCCAGTGGGAAGAATGCTGCTTATATTGGTAGTCAGTGGGAAAATGCTGCTCACGTTTGTAGCCAGTAGGAAGATTACTCTTTACATTGGTGGTTAGTGGGAAAAATGCTCCTTACAATAGAGTTCAGTGGGAAGAAAGCTTCACACATTGGTAGTCATTGGGAAGAATGCCTCTTGCATTGGTGGTCAAAATTCCACCTGTACAAACAGCTAAGAAGATCATTGGTGTCATGCGGATGGCTTTGCAAGGGTCATTGTTCCTGAAGCTAACCGTCACATGGGAGGTCAGCCATGACTCAAGCAAACCCTAGCAAACTCTGGAGGAACCCTATGACTCCAAGGAACCCTGGTTGAGAATGGCTGAGTTAGACACTCTGATTTTACAGGAAATTGAAGGTAAATGCTATAACAGAACAAGGCATTAGCAAAATGTATATTTTACTGAATTTCTATCTCTGTGACTTCGGTTTGGCTTTTTATGCAGACCTAGAACATTCTAAGAGTGGCCTTTTGGCCCATGACACACAATATAGGAAAACTTAGCTCACGCCTATCAATAAAGTGGTAAAAACAGACTAATGATACAAAGATGTTCAAAATAAACATAAAATAAAAAACACCATTAATGTATCTGTGTTGTTGAACAGTACGTCACTTTTTCCCAGGTCAGTAAGGACAAAGAGATTACAATGCCACCTGCTGGTAATTGATAAGATTGCACAGAATAGACTGGTCTATCCCATTCCTATATGTAGTAAAAATTACAATTATACACTATTAATAGGGTTTTATTAACAGGACTACCGTTGGTCACTGGCAGGAAAGAAGGTCCATGTGACACAGGGTTTGGTATTTGGTTTGCTTCCTTCCCCAACTACTTCATTTTGGATTGAAACCAAGTCTCCTAGCAATACTGCATTTCTTTTCATTATATCCAATATGTACAAAAAAAATAGATTGAATAGCACTCTTAAGGACAGTGCTCCAGACAGGCACAGTCCACCCTTTCTACTGCTCCATGAATTAAGGGGTCATCTGCCAGCGTTAAGATGGTGCCCCTGGGCAAACCTTTCCCTATGGCAATGCCGGAGACCTCCCCAGGTGACAAGACCCGATTCCACATGGCAAAGCCAGCCAGACTTCCAACAAAGGCCTCTGAACTGTCAAATCCACCACCCAAGGTGTCCTGCTCCTGACCAAGAACCAGCGAACCTCCAGGTGGGATCTCATAGCCCTTCTGGAACCGAGATCCAGTGGACGTCAGTCTACGATCAACATAGAACCAGTATTTGCCCTGGATGGAGGACCAGATGAAACAAGTGTGATGCCATTTCCCATCAATCAAGGGCACCAGCGGTAGTTCCCGAAAGGCCGGATCACCAATGACCAAGTGGAAAGCGTCATAGGTGGCACTGTTCCTGCCGTGCAGGACTAGCTTGTTGTCGTTCTCTTCTGTGGCGTAGGAAAGGATGGTGCCTAGGTAACTGGCATTATTTTTGACCCAGCTGCAGACGGACAGTTCATGTAGTGGTTCCCTCAAGCCTTTGGTGAAGGTGGCATAGTTTTCCGTGGACGAGTTAGGGAAAATGAGCATGGAATGCACATTGCAAACTGTAACAAGAACACAAGAGGACATCATTAATGAACTTTCAGAGGAACAAATACAGGAAGATGGTAAAGTAATACTTCCCGAAGGAAATATTTAATAGTGTCATCAAAATCAGAAAGGGCTTAGGTAGACAGGACTGAGCAATTGATAATTTTCATGAACGCCAATAAGCTGTCTGGAGAAACTTGTGTTGAGGATCAACAAGTTAAATTGTATATCCAAACTTTTTATTTCAGTTTTGGTTAGAATGGGGAAGGGGTGGAAGCTCTGTTGGGTTTTTACTGCTATCTGGGGCTCCACTAGAGAGATCTCTTCCCATTTACTGACAATGGTTCCACCAGACAGGAAGTGAGGTTTCTCTTCCAATTTCATTGTGTGGCCTCACATCTTCTTACACTCCTTGAGGCTGAATAGTTTAATCCCTACGCTAGAATCACCGTTGAGGTATTTGTATATCGCTATCATATCTCCTCTTAAGAGTCTATCTAGCAGTGTCCTATTAGAAAGGGCACAGGATGACCATGCACCCAGAGGCCAGTATTTATGTAAAAGTTTTCAAAAGAAGAAAAAAGTTTTAGATTTTCATGGTTGGAATAATAATTTGTATAGATTTATGTACGATTTGTCCATTTTTCCATCTAAAAATGTGTATGTTACAGATGGCAACCTGAATGATAGCTGCAAGAAAATCAGTAGCAAGATAAGCCTCTTGGAAAAACATATTGGAAAGCTCTGTCCATAGAACTGTACAAGAGACATGAGTACCAGTGAAGGACAATCATGGTGCTCTCCTACTAGGCAGGAAGTATGACACGTACAGTGTATGCAATGAGTAAACGTATACACCCCCATGGAATCACAAACAATAAACAGAAACAATGGGTTTTATGTCTACATTTAAACAACTCTATAGAGATATTTACTTTATAGACATCTAAAAATGTTAAAAAAGCTATAGAGGCACTTCAATGTTGTTCTTGACATATAAAGGACTTCATGGTGGACTTACTAGTGGCTGGAGTTTTGGTGTGCTTTTCTCTTCAAGTCTTGGAGCAGCTGTGGTATGTGGTGGTATCCTAGTAGATGGTAGAGGTCTTATTGTCTCTCCTGGTGGTCTGTTGTCTCTGGCCACAGAACTACGATGGGCTGACATCTGTATAATATTATCTATCACAGGATCAAGCGGTTGTTGGAACTCAGGAAGGCTGGTCCTCTGGTTGGGCTGTGGCCCCATCGTAACGGACGGCACCTTTGTAGTTAGGACATCAGGCTTCTTCTCTTCTGGTGGACCTAGTTTCCTGGTTACCTCACCATTTTGAGCAGCCATGGGTTCCATTTTGTTTTTGCTTGGTATAAGCAGGAGCTGCTCTTCGTGGAGCTTCATCCTTTGGTTATGTTTGGTCTTTAGTTTTAGTAGTCGTTGTTGAAGAGTTATTGGCCCTGGATCATTTTGCGGGGGTTCTGGCTGTTTTTCCTTAGGGGTACGATTGATCCCTGGAGCCATTAAAGAGCTTGGTGGTAGAATTTCATTTTGTTGCATGTTCTGCAGCTGTTTTTCTAGCTCTGTAATTTTTCTGCCCTGACTCTCGACAGACTCTCGAAAGGCCTCCATCCCTTTTTGCAGCTCGCCCTTGTCTTTTACTAACTGGTAAATAATCCTTTTCTGGTTGCTAAGCATAGTTGTGAAGTTGGCTATCGCCACATCTTGGGCCTTGTTTTCTTTGCTTATCTGCTTATTCCTCTCAGCCGTGGCTTCCTCAAGTGCAGAGATCTTCAGATCTAACTTTTTTGTTTTCTTCTGGACTTTTTTTAGCCAAAACTTTACCCCATTCAGCTCTTGCTGAGTCATGTCACTTGAAGCATTGAAGGCTTCTGCCAGCGACCGCTGCTGGTCAGAAATGTGGTGGAAGCGAGCATCGATGTTGTAGGAGATGTTGTAGTTTTCAGCAATGCCTTGTAAACGAGTCAACGTCATATCTTGGAAACGCCGAAACTGCAACAGAGAACAAATCGTTGTTTATGCTGCAAACTCTCTATAACAAATACATTCCATTTCTGAGGCATTTGCAAGTCTTCATATATAAGAATGGTGCATGCTAGACATGCACGATTCGTTTTGTTTCGATTCGTTTTTCAGACAAAAATGTTGTTCTCAGAGATTCATTTGCGATTCCGAATTTCAACGTGAACATAGAAATGAATGGCAACAAATCTGAAAAAGTTATAGCAAAAAAACAAATGCATTTGTTTCAATCAAATTTGTTTGATACATAGCAAATTCATTGTGAATATCTGGTTATTAAGCATTGGGCAGCTGCTGCTAAAATGTAAACAAACAAGTGCATAAAGTTTTTTTCAAAAAACAGCATGGGGTCCCCCCCCCAATCCAAACCAGGACCATCAGTTCTGGTATGGATTTTGAGAGGAACCCATTCCAGATTTTATTAAAAAATGGCGTGAGGTACCCCTCTCACCCAAAACCATACCAGACCCTTATCCGAGCATGCAGCCTGGCAGGCCAGGAAAGGGGGGGGGGAGGAGTGAGCACCCCCCATGAACCACATACCCTAAACGTGGGAGGGGGTGCACCTTGCCTCCATGTTGATGGGGATAAGGGCCTCTTCCCTACAACCCTGGGCGGTGGTTGTGGGGGTCTGTGGGCAGGGAGCTTATCAGAATCTGGAAGCCCTCTTTAACAAGGGGGCCCAGAGTCATAGTACCCCTACTTATTCACACAAAAAAAAGTCAAAAGTAAATAAATAACCCTGAAAACGAATCTGTTCAACATAATGAACATGATGAAACTAAATTCTTTAATTAATGAATGCAAGTGAAATGAAAATTTCTGCCGTGAACATGTCTAGTGCATACAGATAACAATCTCAAAAAATGTTTGCATGTCCATTAAGCCCAGAGTAATAAGCATTATTTTAAAATGAAAGATGCCAATAACCAAGAGATAAAAGGCTAAATACAAATGTTCCACCAAGCTGAACATTCCTGTTTAGGAACTCATTAGCAGACCCAGTGAGATTGTGTCTGTATGTCCAACCACCCTTTAGTTTGAAGTCTTTAGAACCCAGCTGCCACTGGAGGAATGTTTTACAGGAATTTTGAGTCCCAACCATTATATCCTCTCCTTTTTTCCTCACCCCCCCCCCCCCTACCGAATCTCCATTTCCATCCCCTTTACCCATTCTCACCCCCCACCCCCCACAGAGCATAGAAAAGGTAGTACTGATGGGGACAGGGCATGCTTCCTGAACCACTCCCTTGGACCAATGTCTGTATTACAACTCTAGACAACTTGGCAGTAGACAATTTTTGCACAGAAAATAAAGCCAGCAAAAGGTCAAGCATTAACATAGGGATGACATTTTCAAAGTAAATGCCAGTCCAGCTGAATTTTATAGATTGCTACAGTTCAGCTCCAAGTTTATATGCTCTCGAAATAACCAGTTTATTGGCAATTAACACTGTCAGCAACTGTTTCTCCTTGGGACTACCAAGAACTCCAGCAGAGTGATGAATTATTATTATTATACAGGATTTATATAGCGCCAACAGTTTGCTCAGCACTTTACAATATAACGGGAGACAATGCAGTTCAATACAAGAGGGTTAGGAAGGCCCTGATTCTTGGAGCTTACAATCTAAGAGGGAGGGGCTGGTGGTACAAAAGGTAGTAACTGTGGGGGGATGGACTGGTAGGAGGAGTAGAAGATTCCCTTATTAGCTGAGGGCAGGATAGGCTTCCCTGAAGAGAGAGGTTTTCAGGGATTGCCTAAAAGTGAGCAGAGTAGGCGAGAGTCTGATAAATTGGGGTAGAGAGTTCCAGAGGATGGGGGAAGCTCTGGAGAAAGAAAGGGGTCTGGGGTCTGGAGAAAGAAAGGACTATAAAGTGTAGTTTTCAAGTTAAATAGATTATGAGGAAGTCAGGAAGTGACGAAACGCGTCAAGGGATGTGACGTTCGGACGTTACACGTTGACAAGAAGTAGCGGAGAGGCCATCTTAACTAAGGTGATATCGATACAAGCGTTCTTGGAAGCTGCTTGAGAGATTCTGTCATATGGGAATACATGCGATTTTATTTCTATACTGATGTAAGCATATTTATTAAAGCCTCGATTTATTTAACTTGAATACTACACTTTATAGTCCTTTCTTTCCTTCTGAGTGATATTTTATGGACGGCCCTGGAAAGTGTTTCATCATGCTTGGGAATATGGGCTAGTCCGGTATCTTGCATAGTGTTTGTGGGATAATCTTGGAGAAACTTTGGCATATTGGATTATTCTCTTAACCCCTTCTCGCCGGCGCCTCCCGGGTTCCAGAAGCTGGCAGGCGGGGTTTAGGGTCATGTGACGCGCCGTCACATGATCAGGAAAGGTCCCGATTGAAAGAGGAGATCAGGACCTCTTGCTGGGAGAGCGCAGGGCGCACGCTCTCGGCACATATGTCCTTTAATAGAACGCAAATGTGCGGCCGCACGGTGTCTAGGCCCACACGCCGGGAGGCTGCACATTTGTGTGCGGCCAGTGTGAAGAGGTTAAAGGCCTTTGATTATTTATTTAGGGTAAGAGTATTTACTCTAGCCATAAAGAAGTGTTCACGTTTCATGGTTCACGTGTTTTCACATTTTTCACATATTGGCAATTTATGTATATATGGTTTTGACCATTGGATAATTGAGGATAATACACTATCTAGTTATTTTATTTTTTTGGAGGTATACGGTGGAAATCGACCATATTTTTGGTTTTATTGGGTTTTATTATTTCATTCTGGATAATTGCCACCTGCAGTGGAGAATGTAGACTGCACCTGCCTACAGGTGGATCACAGGGATGGTGTTCCAAGTGGGAATAACCAGTCAGCAGGCTGTGCTTGTGTCCTCGACTAAACAAATTTGCTTAGCTGCCCTGGAGGTCAAGGTCCTGTCACTGGTGAGTTGTTGTGAGATTACTAGGGACTGCACATTAGCGTTCCTGTCACCAGAGACAAATTTGCTATGCAGTGCAGGACAAATATTCACCTGTTTCCATGTGTCACTCCCTTCCTGGCAAGACGACACCATCCTGCTGACAGAAATACTGCTGAAAGTCAGTCTCCAGTGGTGGAGCAATTCCTCGCTTCTGTGGCCAGTGACAGAGTATCGCACAAAAGCAGGAATGCTAATGCTACTTGGTTCTTACAATGGAAATGTAGCAAGGAGGAGAAGATGGTCCTATGCTGTAAATGGATAGGGACTATTTTTGGAGGCATCAGGGGTCTATGGAGGCATCAGGGGTCTATGGAGGCATCAGGGGTCTATGGAGGCATCGGGGGTCTATCAAGAAGATGAAGTACAAACACTACTCTAAAATCTTGTTTTACTGCCCTGAGCCAATGGGTTCTGACCGCGGTAAGGCTCAGAGCTGAGAGATTCCAGGTTCATTCACTGCAGAGCAGAATTGGCCATCTGCTCCTATCAAAAGGTAAAAAGTATGTGAGCGCACTACAAGTAGCAGCTATGCACGGTAGGTAACCAAACAAAACCTGTAAATCAGAATAAAACAACGTAGTGCAGAGCTAAAAAGAATAAATCTAATAAATTGCCTTTATGGTAAATAAAGTTTATGGATATATGATCATAAAATCTGAATGTTCCAAAAGTGACAATAGTGCTCTGAAGGTGCCTGCTTCAAAGATATTCTGGCGCTCGTGCAGATGGAAATAATAAAATTGCGCACTCACCAGATGCACAATTTTAATGCGCATATATATATATATAGTATATACAGTATATATATAGGTACAGATGTCCTCTCAACGGGATCAGGATAGAAGAGATGATAGGTGATCCTTCCTCTGAAGGGTAGATGACACAACGGGCGATTCCAGGGCTTAATGTTGATCCAAGACAGCCAGAGGTCCCATACAGGGTTTGGTGGATGCAGTATCCTGGGTAGACAGGAGATCCCCTCTCTGGGTACTGGGATGGACCTTAAATGGGCTTCTGCAAATTAATTCACTGTAGTCTACCCGGAGGCCAGAATTCTTCCTCGCCGGCTCACTGCACTCTCAGATAGGCAAGATGGCCGCCAGTGGAAAGAAAACGATCTCCATCTGCTCCTGCTTGCCATTCTGAGAGTGTTTGTTGTGGCCCCAGGTTCCATGAGCTTGTTTTAACCCTTTGACTGCCATGATGTGTGGGGTCAGGTTAAACCATACATTTAGTAGTTCAGCAGCAGCTGCCCATTTTAATGGTGTTTTTATGTGCGAGATGAATAGACCACAGGAGAAATTGTACTTGTGTGGAACTACAGGTCCAACCATGCCATACCCATCCTACAGTGGAATAGGTCAAAGAGAGGGCCAAATCTAAAATTCTTAGGAGTCTTTATTGTTCAGCTGGTTACAATAAGCAGGGCAAAAGACAGCCAATCTGTTTTAGGGGTCACATCTACTCTGAACACCAGGGCTGACTGTTGTTTTTAACATTCTCTGACTGCAGGAGTACTTTTGAGTCCATTTAACATTCTGCCAAATCACCCCAGTCCCGATGAAAAGGGATGGTGTGGCCCCTGAAACGCATTGGGTGTCCTTTGCCTTGCTCATTGTAACCAGTTGAACAAATAGGACTTTGAACTCCTAAGGACTTTCCATTGGGCACTCTCTCTAACAGATTACACTTCGATTTCTCAACTTGGGTAAAGGTCCTCTCCTGGGGGATCTCTGTCTTTGTGGGGAGATGCCGAATACAGGCCAAGTGGGCTCAAGTAATGACTTGCATTTGGATAACATGTGAAATCTAGCACTCCTCTACCACTACCTTTTTGATGCTTATCCTTTAGACCTGGGGTCTCCAAACTTTCTAAACAAGGGCATTGGTAACAGTGCCCCATCAGTGCCTGTCAGTGGGTTCCTCGTCATTGGTGTGAGTGGGAGGAATGGTGCCCCGTCATTGGTGTCAGTGGGAGGAATGGTGCCCATCATTGGTGTCAGTGGGAGGAATAGTGCCCCATCATTGGTATCAGTGGGAGGAATGGTGCCCCATCATTGGTATCAGTGGGAGGAATGGGATTGGTATCATGGGAGGAATAGTGCCCCATCATTGGTATCATTAGTGCCCCATCATTGGTATCAGTGGGAGGAATAGTGCCCCATCATTGGTATCAGTGGGAGGAATAGTGCCCCATCATTGGTATCAGTGGGGATAGGCCCCACCATTGGTATCAGTGGGGGGAATAGTGCCCCATCATTGGTATCAGTGGGAGGAATAGTGCCCCATCATTGGTATCAGTGGGAGGAATAGTGCCCCATCATTGGTATCAGTGGGAGGAATAGTGCCCCCATCATTGGTATCAGTGGGGGGGTGCCCCATCATCAGTGGGAGGAATAGTGCCCCATCATTGGTGTCAGTGGGAGGAATAGTGCCCCATCATTGGTATCAGTGGGGGAATAGGCCCCATCATTGGTATCAGTGGGAGGAATAGTGCCCCATCATTGGTGTCAGTGGGAGGAATAGTGCCCCATCATTGGTATCAGTGGGAGGAATAGTGCCCCATCATTGGTGTCAGTGGGAGGAATAGTGCCCCATCATTGGTGTCAGTGGGAGGAATAGTGCCCCATCATTGGTATCAGTGGGAGGAATAGTGCCCCATCATTGGTATCAGTGGGAGGAATAGTGCCCCATCATTGGTGTCAGTGGGGAGGAATAGTGCCCCATCATTGGTGTCAGTGGGAGGAATAGTGCCCCATAATTGGTATCAGTGGGAGGAATAGTGCCCCGTCATTGGTGGGCGGTCCTTAGCTAGTTCTTTCCCACCACCCAAATTGTTCTATTGGTCAGTGAGACTGCCCACCCCCCAGAGGATTTAACCCCCTTCCTGACCAGGTCATTTTTTGTGCTGCATTATTATATTATTTATGGTGCTGTGTTATTTTAACTGACAATTACGCAGTCATGCAACGCTTTACATAAATGAAATCCCCACAAATAGAGCTTTCTTTCGGTGGTATTTTATCTCCTGTGCGTTTTTTTTCATTTTTTGAGTTATAAACAAAAACTGACTGACAATTTTGAGGGAAAATTTTTTTTTTGACTTTTTACTATTAAAAATGTCCAGTAAAAAATGTTTAAAAATCAAATTTCGTCATAAATTTAGGCCAAAAACGTATTCTGCTCCGTGTCTTTGCTGAGAAAAAAATCCCAATACGTGTAAATTAATTGGTTACCGTAAAAGTTTTAGCATTTACAAATGGCGGAATATATACTGGGATTTTTGTTTTTACTAGTAATGGCGGCGATCAGCGACTTTATAGCGGGACTGCGGCGGGCATTCTGACACTGGGGGGGAACTGACTTGGTGTCACTGACATCCCCAGTGACACCAATACAGTGATCAGTGCTAATAAAAAGCACTGACACTGTACTAATGGCACTGGGCAGGAAGAGGTTAACATGTGGGGCGATCAAAGGGTTAACTGTGTGCTGTTTCACTGTATGCTGTATGTGTGCTTTTTCCACTGTAAGCACACTGCTTCGTATGGCTGTGCTATGCAAAGCCATATAAAGCAGTGTGCAGGAGCTGACAGAGGAGAGATCTGTGTTGTTTATACACAGGTCTCTCCCCCGTTGGTGATTCTCAGCGATCGCAGGGTTGCGGCGGGGGAGGCAGAACTCCACACATCTCTTCAGTCTTGCACAGATGCCTTCACCAAAACTGAAATAGTTTACTCTGATTTCACCGCACACTGTGAGTTTCTCACAATATGCATTAGGAGATGCAGCAAGTCAGATAGAGCCTGCCTCATTTTTTGGCTTGGAGAATGTCCAGCATCATCTAGCTCTTTCCTCCCCAGTCTGACTTTCCCTGACCAGTCCCATTAATTGGATTTCAGTTCTTTTAATCATGGAAGCTCAGCATTACCTAGGGTAGTCAGCATGCAAATATAGCCTGACAATGAATGCCCACTCCCAGACTGACACCTACTCATCAAGGCCCTTTAATTATTTTCAGCCTGCCTACTGCTTGCATTAGAGCTGAATGCTCTTGAGAGGAGTACTCAGGGGCAGTGCTGTGACGTTTTCAGGAAGCTATGTGTAGCACCTTGCCAGCTTCTCCCACCAACCATGAGTTACCTGCATTGCATAGAGAAACACAGAGACCTAGGGATGATGTCACTTGGTCTAAAATAAGGTACTATCCATCCATTCAGTCGTATCCAACACTTAGCGATTGCACGGACCGTCACTTGTAAGCGATGTCTTCCATGAATTCTCTTAGCAATTATTTTACAGGGTAGGTTGCCAGGTCTTTCCCCAACCCCCACCATGCAGGAGATCCCACATGGCCAGGGATGAAACTAGGACAATGTAGACAGGAGCCAATTAACCTACCAGCATGTCTTTGGAGTGTGGGAGGAAACCGGAGTACCCGGAGGAAACCTGCACGAACACAGGGAGAACATGCAAAACTCCATGCAGGAGGCGCCATGATTGGGAACTGAACCAATGACCCAATTACTGCACGGCCGAAGTGCTAACCACTAAGCCACTGTGCCGCCCCAAAATAAGGTACAGTATGTCATAAAACCGCAAAAGTTTCATTTAGAAATGTAATTAGCATTTTGATGAGGGGGGAAGAAGGAATTAAGGAACTCAAAATAAAAGATTAGACTTCAGCCTTAAAGTGATTCTAAAGGTTATACTTACCTGCTCTGTGTAATGGTTTTGGACATAGAAGCCCTGATCCTCTTCTTTTTTGGGTCCCCTGCCGGTGGTCCTGGCTCCTCCCCCCATCAAGTGCCCCCAGTAGCAAGCCTCTTGCTATGGCTGGCACTCAATCAGTCTCAGGCTCCCTCCTGAGCCGCGCTCCTGTGAATAGACATTGTCCATTCACATACAGCGTACAGCTCGGCCTAGCCCCCTCTCACTCCTCATTGGCTCACAGGCTGTGATTGACAGAAGCAATGCTGTGTGAGCCAATGAGGAGAAAAAGACCCGGGAGAGCTTCTGTTCTCATGCACATTGCTGGATCGAGATGGGGCTCAGGTAAGTATAAAGAGGGGGCTGCATCCAGAAGGTTTACTGCCTTAATGTATAGAATGCATTAAGGTAAAAGTCCTTCTGCCTTTAGAACCAGTGTAAGGTTTCATAGATATTGTTTTCCACCAGACGTGACCATATTTAGACTCCTGAAGTTCCACAACATCAGGAGAACAACATGACTGATCCTCACCTGTTCCTCCAGCCTTCTGAACCTCTCGAAAAACGGCTTCCTCTGCTCCAGTACCCGCTGTTGTTCCATAAAGACACTCTGTAGACAGAAACCAGCCAAGAACAGGAATCTGAAGACGTGACCTCCTGCCATCATCATTGTCCACCTTCCTCTTGATATCACCTACAAAGTATGGATCTTCTTATATAGACTATAGACTATGACTCTTCCAACTTCCTTGTCCCTCGGATTACATTCCTTGCTCTTTTGCTTTCCAGTAGAACTTCCTCTTTGTGATAAATGGCTTTTCTTTATTGGTTTCCAAAAAGTTGTATTCAATGTTTATTCCTTTTTTATTGTTCCTTTGTATGGCCTCACGTGCAGATTCCGAGCTTCTCCTCCAGTGTGAACCTTTCCTCCTCTGATTCTTCTCTCTCTGTTCCCCCCCCCCCCCAACACTCAGCTCTGGCGTCTTCCATCCACAAATAGATGGTTTTGCAGGCGCACGGTCTATTCCCAATGAGCCAATTTTAGACGCAAGAAGGAGCGTCTTGTATGCCCCGGCTCCAGAAAAAAAGTGATATTTATGGTACAGCCTATGAAAGTGACTAGGTCAGTCTTATTTTAAGTCTTTTTACAGATACCAGGAGCTCCTCTTTCAACCACATGGCTTTTACAGAGTCCTGGACAACATGGAGCATACAATGGATGATATAAACACAAAATAAATGACAAAACTCCACGGAAAGAGCTGGAATAAGCAACAAGGTTCTTTTAACCCTTTCACCCACAGAGCCTTTGTTTTTTTTTGCACACATAATGAAATAAAATTTTTTTTTCATTCAATAAATTTTTATTGATTTTTTTATATCATAGATATATATATATATATATATATATATATTATATATATATATATATATATATATATATATATATATATATAATAGATATAGTTATTTGGTTCGGTTCCAGAAAAAAGAAAAGAAAAAAACACACACACTATCTATCTATCTATCTATCTATCTATCTATCTATCTATCTATCTATCTATCTATCTATCTATCTATCTATCTTTCATACACACACTATTATATATCTCTCTCTATACACATAAATAATAAATTCACACTCTGGGATTGATTTACTAAAGTCTCTCTCTCACATTTTCTTAATTCAATAAGTTTTTATTGATTTTTGAAATAGTTGCTCTAGAGCTTAGTAAATTAGCATTGGATACAAAAGCATCTGCTGACATTCATCATCCACACACACACATCATGTGTGCGCAAAAATGCTGCCCTGCTCTTTTTTTTTGTTCTTTTTTTATTTCCCTTGCACGTAATTGGGTATTCTTTGCAAAGTGAAGCTTTACCTCATTTACTAAGCTTTGGAGCAACTGCACTTGCAAAGTGCAAGATCTATTTGCCTTTAGTAAATCAACCTCATTGAATATATGGAAATGCACCTGAAAACAGAGATCCTGTAGAATAAAATGGTGGTAGCTGCAGACACCCAGTACTCTGGCCTTTTTTTTGTAGTATGAAATATTTATGCTATTTTTCAAATCTGATATTTTCTGTAAAAAAAAAAAAATGCAGACAATTTTAGCCTACAAAATGACAATATATTACCCAAATTTGCGTAAATATTCTGGGGAAAGAGTTTTAATAGGTCTTTCGCGCTATAGAGCCACATAGCCATTTTTTAAAAAGTTTTTTGCATATGTACTACACTGCACATTTTCTTTCGGGGTCGTGGCTTGATTCAGTAAGTTTTTATTGATTTTGAAGTATATTTTTGGTTCCAAAGAGGAACTTTATTTTAGCTTTTTATTTTTTTTTAACTTTATTGCTGCACAAGGTGGCTGAAATCCCTGTCCTATACTGTAACTTTTGATTAAAGTAACCATTGGATACAAACTGTTTGCTTTCAGACTGTGCGCCTGTCCAGGGCACGACTAATTAAAACTCCATACCTGTGCAGAGAAGGCAAGCAGTAGGGGGGGACGAGTTATTCCTCCATTTATTCACTTAGTAGTGTCATTTGACAATAAGGTGATCCTGGGGAGCAAACCCAGGACCCTTTCACTATATCTGGTCTCCCCAGACCCTGCATTCACGGGGTATATCCCGGAGGCCGGAATTATTTCCTCCATTTATTCACTTACCTGTGTCATTTGACCCTAAACCCAGGACCCATTCACTATATCCTGGCTCTCCCCAGACCCTGCATTCCCTGGCAGACCCACTACTATCCGGCTCTCCCCGGACCCTGCATTCACTATATCCGGTCTCCCCGGACCCTGCATTCACTATATCCGCTCTCCCCGGACCCTGCATTCACTATATCCGCTCTCCCCGGACCCTGCATTCACTATATCCGCTTCCCCGGACCCTGCATTCACTATATCTGGTCTCCCAGGACCCTGCATTCACTATATCTGGTCTCCCCAGACCCTGCATTCACTATATCTGGTCTCCCCGGACCCTGCATTCACTATATCTGGTCTCCCCAGACCCTGCATTCACTATATCTGGTCTCCCCGGACCCTGCATTCACTATATCCGCTCTCCCGGACCCTGCATTCACTATATCTGGTCTCCCAGGACCCTGCATTCACTATATCCGGTCTCCCCAGACCCTGCATTCACTATATCTGGTCTCCCACAGTACACAGAACATGGAAATGTAATTATTTTAGTAAATATAAACTGCTAAGTACCTTTTCTCAATAGCAGTATATATCAGTCTTGTGACTTCTATTGGTGTCCGGCTGAGCACATGTTAAAGCTTGTAGGAGTTTTCTTTCTGCTCTAGGAAGATGCAGGACATCTGACCTCTGTCTGGGCAGTGCTGATTGTGCTGATCACATGCAGTCTCCCAAGATAGAAAGAAACCTCTAGCAATACACACCAAACTGAGCATGTGAAAAGGCATTTATTCCCTGTTCTCTACTTCTGCTGCGTTATGTGTAGGCAGCCCATACATGTGAATTGGAGTGCATTGGCTGTATGGACTCACCTGCACAGTGTTTGGCTGGGACGGGTGCACAGACCGGGATGCACAGGCTTATCGTCCGGGGCCAAGTTAAAGTCAAAGTGTAAATATAGCCATTTGTTTTTAGTTTTGGATAGAGTACGGAGGAATTCCAACCCCCCTCCAGATTATTTTATAGGGTCTGTGTACTTTTAAGGACATTTTTCTTCCTATTAAGGAATCACAGCACAAACTTGGAGGAAATCTCCCCAAATGAGAGGAGATTCCTACTCTGTACAATCTGATTGTATAATCTCCTTTAGAGCCCAATCACACTTATGCAACTTGTCATGCAACTTTGGGTTCCAAAATTGCATGACAAGTTGCCCCCCCCCCCCGTTTTCAAATGGGTACCATCAGGGGCGGACTGACAACTCATGGGGCCCTCGGGCAATAGGAAATCATGGGGCCCCTGTGTCCTCACCAACACTCAAACCACACCCAAAAAAGCCTATGAAAGGTACCAGGAGCATCTCATGGGGCCCCCTACTGACCCCGGGCCGCACCCCCTCCCCCGTCCCACCGACAGATAATATGGGGAGAAGTCTCCCAGTGCTACCTGTCAAATTTTAAAACAGCGTGGCAGTGTGGGGCTCCGCCCACAAGGCTGCATCACTCATTCACAGAGTTCTGTGAATGAGTGCCTACAAGTCCTGGCAGGCTCAGCGGTAGTTTTCAATGAACTACCATGGTGCTATGGAGCGTCGTGGTAGTTGATTGAAGGTTCCTCTCAGTATACCTGCTTGCGCATACATCCCGTACAACAAGCAGATATTCTGACAGGTCTGCAGGAGACCTGCATGGCGTCAGCGGTCACTGATCACTAGTGCAATGCTTTCCAGGCTTCTGTAGACAAAAATAATAAAACGTGCATTTTTTTTTACCTGCAAAAAAAAAAAAGAGCATTTATTATTTCTTTCTAAAAGGTGAACTTATCCTTCAAGTCAGGGGTGGGCAACTGTGGCCCTCCAGCTGTTGGTGAACTACAAGTCCCATCATGCCTCTGCCTTTGGGAGTCATGCTTGTAACTGTCAGTTTTGCAATGCCTCATGGGACTTGTAGTTCTACAACAGCTGGAAGGCCACAGTTGCCCACCCCTGCTTTAAGTCATTGGTGCTCTACATCTTCCAACTACTGCAAAACGGCAGTTAAAGTGACCCAGTACTCTCGGTACTGTACTTCCACAGCAGGGATGCCTTTCTCTGTAACATACAGTACATGTCATTACAATACTACATTCTCTATAGGTATCATTTAGAACTCACTCTGGGTTCAAGGGAAATGTTTGATGAGATGTCGCCACCGTGTGGATACAAGTGATACAATACAAAAGTGCAGCGCTCACAAACTCAAAACCAAAAAATAAAAAATAAATAGTAATGAAGAATAATCCTATGGATCGCCAAGATCTTACCCCCCCCCCCAAAGTCTCCCATCCAAGTACTAAACAAGCTCAACCCTACTTATCTTCCGAGCAGATTGGGCAAACTCAGGGTGGTATGGCTATAGACCTTTCCTCTAATGGGTAGCACAGTGGTTAAATGGTTAGCACTTCCACCTAGTGGTACAAGGTTCATTGGTTCAAAGCCCAACCACTGCACCTCCTGCTTGGAGTTTGCATGTTCTCCCTGTGCCTGCATGGGTTTCCTCCAGGCTCTCCGGTTTCCTGCCACACTCCAAAGACATGCTGGTAGGTAATTGGATCCTGTCTAAATTGGCCCGAATATGAGTTAGGGGCCTAGATTGTACGCCCCTTGAGGGTTAGGGACCGATGTGAATGTAATATATATATATATATATGTGTGTGTGTGTATAAATTGACGGCACTATATAAGAACCTGTAATAAATAACCACTTCCAGTCCGGACACTTTTACCCCCTTCCTGTCCAGGTCAATTTTTAGCTTTCAGTGCTATCACACTTTGAATGACAATTATGCGGTCATGCAACACTGTACCCATATGAATTTTTTTGAGACAGATAAATCTTTATTTTGGTGGTATTTATTCACCGCTGGGATTTTTATTTTTTTGCTATGTAAATAAAAAGTCCAAAAATTTAGAAAAAAAAAGTGTTTTTCTTATAAAATTTTGCAAATAAATAATATTTCATCATAAATCTTGGCCAAAATTTATTCCGTTATATTTTTAGTAAAAAAAAAAAAAAAATATAACCCAAATTAGTTTATAACCAAAAATTATAATTTTTAAACATTTTTTTTACATTTCTTTTTAATTTTTTTTATATTATTTTTTATTTATTTATTTATTTTTACATACTGTCACCCTAGCAGTACAGTGTCACCATGGTGACACTGTACTACTTTTGAGGGGTGATGAAGATTTTTTTTTTTTTTACACTAATTGTTTTTACACCCATATAGGATGTAAAAGCAATCATTTCTCCTTCTCTCTAGCTGCATTCTTGAAGCCATTGAGAACTACTGAGTGAGCTGTGATTGGTCACAGCTTGTCACATGGTACAAGGCTGTTGTGAATGCCTTGTACCATGTGACCTCCGTGATCATTAAAAGATTTCACACATAGTAAGCAATGATGTCACAAGTGACATCATTGCTTACTACTCTGCATGCGATCACTGCCAATCAGTGATCACAAGATCGGGACCTCGTACAGAGGTCCCGTCCGGCGATCGGTGTTCCACTGTGTCCGGACGACACAGTGGGCACCGGATCGCGGTGCTGCGCGCTCTCAGGGAGCGCACACAAGCAGGGTGCGGGGAGGCCGTTTATAAACAGCCACCCGCCACTGCACTGCCACTGTCTGGCCATTTATATACAACGTCCGGACCGGAGAGGTGGTTAAATGTCTAATGTTAACAGCAATACATGTAATTATTATAATTATTATACAGGATTTTTTAGAGCGCCAACAGTTTGCTCCGCGCTTTACAAAATGAAGGTAGACATTACAGTTACAATACAATTTGGTACAAGAGGATACAGAGGGCCCGGCTCATCAGAGCTCACAATCTAGGAGGAAGGGTTGAGGGATACAATAGGTAATAGCTGTGGGGGAATGAGCTGATGGCGGAAATAAATGGCGGTTTACTAGGTAGAAGCAGGATAGGCTTCTTTAAAGAGAAAGGTTTTAAGGGATCATCTAAAGGTGAATAGATTAGGAGACAGCCGGACAGATTGAGGTAGGGACTTCCATAGGATGGGAGAAGCTCGGGAGAAGTCCTGGAGGCGAGCATGGGAGGAAGTGACACAGGAACTAGAGAGCAGAAGTTCTTGGGAGGATCGAAGAGAGCGGTGTCATCTAAATGCTTTGCATAAACTGTAAAATCATGGTAATAAAAACATAAATCAACAAAGTTGTTAAATCCAGGAATTAATCTAGAGGTATATACAGCAGAAAATACTCTCTGGGACAGAATAAAAAGAGTCCTATAAGCCATGATGAAAGAACAGGATGAGCTCCCCAGGCTGTCACCATCAAACACTTGTAAAGTCTCCCAGGTGTCACTGATCACACGCAAGGCTTACCAAATGCCACCAGGGAAAAGGCGCTGTCTCCAGTCTCCACAGAGACACCAGGAACTTGCTGTCAGTTGTCACCATATACATCCACAACTGGCAGGGAACCGCTGCACCACTGGGAGTTAGCTTAGTAAGACCGATGAACATATAACAGATACACTCCACAGCGTAAAACCACCCGTGGAAAGGAGGTTTTTTTTTAAGTCTAAGCACTTACAAACGTCCAGAAGTAACACAACATATCACATGGTACAGCAACATGGAATTCCAGTATCAAAGATGGCCACCATTCCTTCGCACATTCCCAGGTCAGCCCTACTGGTTTTGCCACAAATGCCCCCGATGATGTCATTTGTAATGACATCATTCATATCACTAAACCCACAACAGCAGAATCAGTCTGTGGTAAAGCATGCTTGTTATACTCACTGTGGAACCTAAGGGGTTAATCCTCTGCATTGTGTAAAAAGGCTGTTTGATCCTGTCTTCTCTGAGCCTCCCCTTGTTCAAACGTCCACGCTGATATGCTCAGTTTAGTGCTTTGCTATAAAGGTTTTTTTTTTTTCCTCGGGAGAGTGCATGTGATCAGCACAGGGCCAATCAGCACTGTCCAGACAGAGGTCAGGGGTTCTGCATCCTCCTAGCAGAAAGAAAACTCCTAGAAGCTTTAACCAGTGCTCTGCTGAAGTCACTAGACTGCTATATACTGCTGATGAGAAAAGGTATTTAGCAGTTTATATTTACTAAAATAATTGCATTTCTGTGTACTGTGGGAGACCAGATATAGTGAATGCAGGGTCTGGGGAGACCAGATATAGCGAATGCAGGGTCCTGGGAGACCGGATATAGCGAATGCAGGGTCCGGGGAGACCAGATATAGTGAATGCAGGGTTCGGGGAGACCAGATATAGTGAATGCAGGGTCCGGGGAGACCGGATATAGTGAATGCAGGGTCCTGGGAGACCGGATATAGTGCATGCAGGGTCCTAGGAGACCGGATATAGTGAATGCAGGGTTCGGGGAGACCGGATATAGTGAATGCAGGGTCCGGGGAGACCGGATATAGTGAATGCAGGGTCTGGGGAGACCAGATATAGTGAATGCAGGGTCCGGGGAGACCGGATATAGTGAATGCAGGGTTGGGGGAGACCGGATATAGTGAATGCAGGGTCCTGGGAGACCGGATATAGTGAATGCGGGGTCCGGGGAGAGCGGATATAGTGAATGCGGGGTCCGGGGGGGAGAGCGGATATAGTGAATGCGGGGTCCGGGGAGACCGGATATAGTGGATGCGGGGTCCGGGGAGACCGGATATAGTGGATGCGGGGTCGGGGAGACCAGGATATAGTGAATGCAGGGTCCGGGGAGACCGGATCTAGTGAATGCAGGGTCCGG